AAAATTTTCATTACCAAATTTTATTTTAAAAAAAACTTTTAAAATAAAATGTAAATAAATGCTTTTAATAGAGAATTTCTAAAACTTTAAGACGGTTAACAGTTTAAAAAAAAAAATTATTTCTTGTTTTAATTCGCATTTAAAAACTTTGAGTGTTAATTTCTCAAAGTATGTCATCTTCAATTTTGTTCAAAGTTGTCTTTAAAAAAATATATTAGATTCTCCAGTTTTTACCATCCAAAAATTATTTTGGGTTTTTTAGTGGATTCAGAGAAGAAAACCACTGCCAAGTTGTATTCTTTTTTTTCATTTTCTTTCTGTTTATTTTCCATAAACACACTTTGCTTCCTCGTAGAGTTAATAATAATAATTGAAATATAAAAGTAACTTTTGATAAATAGGTTAAAAAACGATGAAAAACCTTTTTCCAAGAAATGTATTTTTTTTGTACTCTATAAGATGGTTATAATAGTTTAATTGTTACAGAAGAATTTTTAAACAAAAAAGTAAAAAATGATTTTTTTCACGATTTTTGGTTTTTAGAATAGAAATAATAATTCACATATGTATGCACGGACATTATTCAAAAACACGTTTTTTGAACTTCTGAGGTTAAATTCTCAAATTACATCGAAATATGTCAAAAAATCACAATCGAAAATTTTGACAATACAATGCTTCATCTATGAGCAAGCAAAATAAAATATAAATATTTTTTTACTAAATTTAGCATAGAAAACGTAATCCTCTTAAATTTCACGCTATACAAATTATTTGTTTTTTTTTTAAATTTTTTTTGAATAAAATAAAAAGTGTGTTTTTCAATATTTCATTCAAAATAATATTATTTCAAATCATATCTAAAACTTATCTAAGTAACTAAATATCTGAAATAATTCAAATCTTAATCAACTATAATATTATTTTAATTTTACGTAAAGTGAAAAACTTACTTTTCTTAACAATTTAAAAAATTGTTACTTTTAGACTGCGTTTATATTTTACAATAAAATTTTTAAATGGTAATTAATTTGTTATTAATTCTATTATTAATATAATTATATATAAAAAAAGATGCATAACAATTTAAATAATAAAGATTATATTTTTGCTTAACAACTTTGACAAAGTGATCTATTTAACAGAATTAAAAAGAAACAAATAATTTCAATTCTGCTACATGAAATTCAAAAGGGTTATGTTTCCTATACCAAATTCGGTAAAAAAACGAATTTATATTTTTTTCTCTGTATCCACTAAAAAACTTAAAATAATCTTTGGATGGTAAAAACTAGAGAATCTAATCTTTTCTTTTGAGACAACTTTTAACAAAATTGAAGATGCCATACTTTGAGGAATTAACACTCAAAGTTGTTAAATGGGAATTGAAACCAAGAAATATTTTTTAGAAAAAAGCATTTTATCATCTAAAAGCTTGAGAAATTCTCTATTAAAAGCATTATTAACATTTTATAATTAAAGTTTTTTAAATAAAATTAATTATATATGAAAAGTGCTCAACCCGCGATAGTCATTTATTGCAAGTGGTACTTTTTGAAATGCCCTCAAATATATGAAAATATAAATTACATTAAACACAATAAATAAAAATATTAAAAGAAAAAATGAAAAATATGAAATGAAACAAATTTTTATTAAAATAAACCCCCTTTTCCAGAATTTCTTTTCAATATATAGAAAATACCTAAAGAAATTCTTATTTTCTCACCTCATTCTCTTTTCTTTTCTGATGAAGAAAGAAATAGTTTCTCTAAAAAAGTCCTATCTTGAGAAATTGTTTTTCCCTAGCCATTCTATATATATACCTATTACTGCAATATCGAGTTTGAAGTTTTTGTTATTCCACTTCTTCAATTTCCGTAGGTTGAAAAAAATTCTTCTATTTACTTAGTACTGTATAAACCAACTCTAATCTTCTAAAGCTTTATGATTGAGTCACTGAACTCGGTTTTCATATATATAGCTATAGGCGAAGCTTAATTTTCAATTATCGGAGAAATAATTCGGCTGATCGTCAGAACGCGCAATTGGGTCGAATCAGATTCAGAATTTCTATCAGAATCTACACGTTCTTCATTTTTCCAAGGAGCAAAGAATTTTTTTTACTTCTTTGCAAAAAAAAAGAGAACCCCGTTTCATTTACAAACCAATGGTGTGAATTTTTTTCCTCAATATGAGAAATACAAGTGAGATGACTAAATTGTGAAAAAGTGGATAAGAGGAAGAAAAAAAGTTTGAGGAAGAAAGGGAGAGAAGAAAAGAAGGCAAAAAAGTAAAATGAGTCCCTTTATGAGTGTGAATTTGAGTTTCTTTCACGAACAACTTGTGTGTGGTATATAAGGTCGCAATCTCCCTTCTGCAGTTACATAAAGGGACTTGAAGACTCCATGTTAGAGGAGAGGAAGGTTGCTAATACCCAGAAAATCTGTTCCCTCATGCCATATTCCAACTTCTCTTCAAGGAATGAGAGGGGAAAGAGGGCTGTTTGCATGCGTGGTTTTGCTCTGGAAATTTGCAAATTGTAACATCTGCTCTGTAACATGCCAGCTGAAATATTACACCCAGCCTTCGACAACAAGTTTGATCTGACTTCACCCCTCTTCCCCACACTCGCAATATTTCTAAAATCATTCCGCCAAATTAGCTTTCAAAATAATTTCCCCCTCTCGACAATTTTTTTTCACAATTATTGCCTTATTTTTTCCTTATCTTTTTTTCTCAACACTTGCAAAACTTTTTTAAGACCTGCAGTTTAAATGGTTTTTCTGTAGCAAAAAGCGAATTTTGTCAAAGTTAAAGCAAAAAAAAAAAAAAAATGAATTATATTACTAACGAAAGTAAAAATTTAATAAACAAAAAGAATTTTAAATTTCAAAATGGCGGATCCAATATGTCGGTCATTTAATTTTTGTAAAAATATTTACTCGGGAGTTTTTCAAGTTACGAATTTCTAATTTAATGTGAAATTGCATATATTGTAAAAGTACACTACCGTCCGTGAGTATCAGAACGCCCCTTTTTTCATGAGTGGAAAAATGCTTAAAACGTAGAAAATAAGAATGACAAAAATTTTTCATATTTTTTTCCTAAAAGCTAATGAAATTATGAAAAGACTGACAAATCGAACTGACTGATCGAAGAATTTTCGTTGACTATTCTGTCAGATACAGAAAAAAAACTGGATTTTGCATGCTTTTCGTAATTTTTTAATTTCTCGAAAACTAATTAACTTTTTTTAGCGTTCTTGGTCTTGTTTCAATCTCTATTCAATGTAGAATTTAAATTAATTAAAGGTATTGTGATATATAAATTTTTTTAAAAAAATTTAAAACTGTGAAAGTCGGATAAAAAATTTTTGAAAAACAGATTGACACTTTTTCAACAAAAAAAAAAATTTTTTTAATTAAATAATTAAGTAATAAAAAAGCTTTTTTTAATTTTAGTATATCTATTAAATGAACATATTTTACATTGACCTTTTTGACACTTTAATATTCATGATAATTTTTTGAATTTTTTTAATCCTACTTTTACGGTTTCAAATTTTTTTTATTAATTTTCATTACCGATTTTTTTATATAATAATTTCATAATTCTGAATAATCAATCGTATGGTTTTTTAAAAATTTGGATTTTTTTAAAAAATTTAATTTTTTTAAAAATAGAAAAAAATTGTAAATCAGTTAAAAATTATACTTTTATTAATTTTTTATAGTGTTATATGATTTCAGGTACTGGAAAAGTGTAAAAAAATGTTGATACCCCTAAAAATGGTCATTTTTGATTGGCTCAAATTTTACAATTAGTTCTTAAAAAATTCATCTACTTCCACATTTTTTATTCTTTTACGTTGCCAAATTTTTTATAGGCTTTTCTTATGATTCTAAATAATCAATCGTATGGATTATGAAAAATTTTAATTTTTTAAAAAAATAAATTTTCCAAAATGGCCGAAATTTTTTTTTCAATTTTAACTATATAGAATAAATTTGGATCCTAAATAATGCCATTAAAAAAATTTGGCTCTTTTTAACAACGTAATTATCGAAGGATTGAAATTTCACCGGTCCCTTCCCTTAAAGCAAATATAACTTTAAATAAAGTTTTATTGTCATAGAAGGAGTTTACATCGTAAGCCTTAAATATAAGCCTCCGAGAGCATAAACGGATATGCCTCCATGAGGATATACTTGCGTCTGCGCAAAGTGTTTACCTACAGCTGTGTTGTGAAAGAGTTTGCCTTGACCACGTGTTCGCGCAGGCGCAAATATATGCTCCTGGAGGTATATCCGTTTATGCGCGCGGAGGCTTATATTTAAGGCTTACGGTGTAAACTTCTTCATAATACAGTAAAATATTGTGTTTTTATAAAAAAAAATGTTAAAGTACCAATTTGAAAACGCTTACATTCTAATTGTCCCAATTTGTGAAAAGAAGTGAACCAATTAGTGGACTTTCAAATATTTTAGACAATTTATTAATTTATTGACATTATTTAATACCTATTATTAAAATTAAATCGATAAATTATTAACTATACGGTTATAAAGTATATGTTGTTTTGAATTTTTTTTTAATAAATTACAAAACTTATAATTCCAATATTAATGCTTTATTGACAAAGAAACAACACTCACGTTGACAATGATCATTTTGTCCAATGAATTAATACTTGAAAAGTCTGTATAATCGATTTTTAAGGTAATTTTAATTATTTTCAGTAGCAAAAGGTAAAAATAGCAAACACGTATAAAAGTAATTAACTTAAACATTAAGTAGTTAAGTATCTAATTAAGAGTCGGAATCATAAATTATTAAACAATTTCCGATTTTCTTCAAGTATAAATGAAAAAGAAAAAATGTTATACAAAAAGCATACTTATTTAATTTGACAGACTGATAAATTATTCAACGTCTCATTTCATATAATATACATTATATATGGAAATTTTTATTTTTCTTTATTCATTTATTTTTAGGTGCTGCTGCCGCTTCACGCGTCTACGTTGATGCTTTGTCCAGGTTAGCCCGACAGGCACAGCTGGGCACCTGGGGTGGTTCGCAAGATGTCGGTGAGTGAAGATTAATTATTCATTTTCACTTGCTTTTCGGAGTTTGAAATTCTCTCCCTTTGGGAGGCCACGTGTTCGAGTCCCAAACAATCTTGAGAAAGCATGCCTCAAAAGGGGTAGAGAGAGAGTTGTGCTTTCTTCATTAATTAATTACATGTGAGTGTAAAAGCTCACCACTTTGTTTTTTTTTTTTTTGCTCTTTTAATTGTAAGTTATACTTCAGTTTTTGTTTGCTAATTTAAATTCACTGCTTTTCGAGGGATTAATTTATTTTTATATAATATTTTACAAAAAGTCTCGACTTAATAGTCTGCTCGTTATTTCATATACTATAAGGTATGTTCATATTAAATATTAAATAATATTTATCTTAATCGGTTTTTCGTTTATTAAATATGTATCTACTTTAAGATTATATTTTGAACATCAAATTAAGATGTGTATATTCTAGTGCAATTTATCATAAACTATATGTCTATAATATGTAAATTTACTTGGGAAATTATTCGCTGTGAATTCCGGCAGCAATCTGATAAATTTATGCATGTAGCGCTAATTATAGTCGAATGGTAATTTAATGATTATTTTCGAGGTCAGTGCTGCTGCGCTAAGCAGATATGTGTATGAAGGCAGGTTCATATATACAAGTTTAATGAATTAATGTCATGTATCAAGAGCACGGGCAAATACGTGTACCTTGATTAGAAGGTGTTAACTCGAATTAGTAATAGTTATACCGCATTACTACATTTAATTAGTTTTAGTATTAGTTTATACATATATGTATATGTCCGTGTTGGGAATGTGGATTTAATAGATAGACAAGTTTCCCATTTAATCCTTTCAGAGGTTCATAGGAGTGTGAATAAATTTTATTTCAAGTGAACGAAACTCAATGGCCACCTCTCTCTCTATTTCCTGGACAGAATATATTTGCACCAGGCAAGCAATCACGCCGTTTCTAAATTTTGTTTTCAAAAACTTTAATCCTTTATTTGCATCAATTTGAATTTATTTTACTGTAGAATTTAGTTGAATTAAATTTTGTTATTAAAGTCCTAAACTAAATCAATATTTATTCACTTTGGCAAATTTCTATTATTGTTCAGATCGCATATTGATAAAAAAAAAAGCTTTTTCTGAACAAGAACGGTGAAGAAATGCTTTTTCCAAAAAATACGATTTAGATATTTGAACTTTTTGAGTTTTTGAATTTGATTTTTTATAAAATTAAAAATTCAAAAGGGATTTAATATGGCCCTCGAATCTTTTAAAAGTTAACCTATTGCACAGTGGAATTTTTTTTACAATTTACTGTTCAAAAATGTTTACAGCCTACAAATTTTAACCGATTTGAGTATTCTTTGTTTTAAATTAAAGGGTAACTGCACATGACCTAAATCAGTTTAAATTAATCTAATATGACCACCAGACAATGAATGAAACATAAAATAATTTATTTACTTATTATTTTTTTTCAGGTTTACATTTTTATTTAGGTTCATTTAAAAAATACAAGAATGCAAGTATAAGTACTTATTTTAAATAGGTTGTGAAATTAAAATGATAAATTACACATAGATTTTTATATTCTTTAAATGAACCTAAATAAAAAACTAAACGTGAAAAAATAAAATTTTATTTAAGAGGAATCAAAGTTTATAACAATTTAAATAAGTTACTTTTTTAAACAAAAAAAAAATACATACATTCTTGAAATAAACTTAAATTAAAAAGAAAATGTGGAAAAAAAACATTTTTTTGTAGCTAGGGATCAAAGTTAACTATTTGTTAATTAATATTGTTTATAACAATTTAAATAAGTTACTTTTTTAAACAAAAAGGACATATTTTCTTGAAATAAACTTAAATTAAAATAAATGTGAAAAAAACCTTTTTTAGTGGAAAGGAATCAAAGTTAACTATTTGTTAATTAATATTGTTTATAACAATTTAAATAAATTATTTTATGTTTTATTAATTGTCTGGTGGTCATATTGGATTAATTTGAACTGATTTAGATTATGTGCAATAACGGAATAAGAAAATAAACGTCCTTTTTAAAAAAAATTGTATTAACTTGTTAACTTTGATTAAAATAAAAAAATTACAAACAATTAAAATCTCGCAAAAATAGTCCTCGAGGGATGTCTTAAGAATTTATTCTACTTCAATTTAAAACAAAGGACACTCAAATCGGTTAAAAATTGTAGGCTGCAGATATTTTTGAACAGTAGTAGACTCGGGAGTTGGGAGTGAAATTTTTCGAGTTAAAATATACTACCTAAATTTAAAAAAACATCCCACTGTGATATTGGTCTAAAAATATTTTTCGGGAGTTTTTGAATCAACCGTATTTGAAACTAGATTTAAAAAATCCAAAATGGTGGATCCAATATGGCGTGATTTAAACTTTGACTTTTTTCATAAAATGCTTCAGTTTCTGGAACTATTTTACCATACACTGTAAAAAATTTAGGGAGTTAACGGACTCGGGAGTTGGGAGTGAAATTTTTCGAGTTAAAAATCAACTCCAAAAGAGAGTTAATTTCTAACTCCCTTTATTCAACACCCGCGCGAGTTATTTTTTTTTTGGGAGTTAGCATTTGGGTGTTAAATTTTAACTCTCTTTATTTAACTCCCCTGGCATTAACTCCCCAATGGGTGCGACTTTTATAGACCCCCCGGGGGAGTTAAAATTTAACTCCCTTTTTTTACAGTGTATCGTAAATTTTAAATTCAGATAAGATTAGTAGTAATAAAAATAATTTTCAGAGAAAAATTTGAAATTTCTCCTCGAGTTAGGAAATTGTTATGTATTTAACAATGCACCCTCATATTCGCAAATCCAAAATCATAAACGCTTGAGCAATTCCTCATGTGGAGATGAAGATTTAAGAAAGCCGATTGTCATAAAGTGAAGCATACGCTAATTTATGCAATAAAGAAAAAAAGATCAAAAGAAATTCCCTTGCTGATAACAGTACAAAGAGCTTTTTAATGACAAAAGAAATAGTTATATATAGAGAGAGGAAATTATGAAAAGAAAGAAAGTAGAAGATGTTCAAAAAAGAAGCCTCGAAAGATATTTTAGGGACAAAATATCTAAAGAGAAAGAAAAAGAGAGAGAGAGAGAGAGAGAGAAAGAGGCCAAGAGAGTTTCGGCAATAAAAGGCCCTGCACAACAACGCTAAAGTTCCAAGGTTTCTAAAGCCAATAAAATGGGGTTTTACCCTTTTAACCGTCGTCGCTAAGCTCGAAAAGCTCTCGGTCGGTGGAGGGGAAAAAAAAGTTGCTAACAAGATCATTGCAGCGTGATAAGTGTACGTATTAAGTTCGGGTCGGTAACCTATAAGTACGACCCAGCAAACGCTGCAAGTCTTGAACGACAGCCCCCGATTGGGACTTTGGGAAGCTTTCTAAGTGCAAAACTCTCGTTGCAAAAGTACTTTTATTCTTAAATATATATATATATATATATATATATATATATATCGAGACGCGACGTGTTCTCGTTTCGATTTCTCGGATATAGGATACGGTTATATATAAAAGCTGGACAGAGGCAAGATTCACACGTCTCACTGAACAAAGTGAAGTTGCATCACATACACAAACTCACAAATACGCAGGTTCGATGACTTTATTGCCAATGTATGCGACCTTGCGCAAAACTTTTCTAATTCTAAGCAGAGTCTTCGTACCCTCTTTCTATTTCCTATTTTTTCTTTCTCTTGTGAAATTCTATGCTATTCTTCTGTCAATTTCGATCCTGTGTACCAAAATGCCTTTTATGGGAAACAAGAATTTCCGTTCTTTTAATGTTTTTACACTTAATTATTTTTTAAAAAATTATTACTTCCTCATAGAGAAAGTATTTATTTTTACCCTCGTGTTTTGTTTCAATACTAGTGTTACAATTTTAAGATTTACATTTCTTTTTTTTACATTTTCTCTACACAGGGTTACCACGCAACCTGAAAATGTCAGGAAATTTTATAAACCTTAAAAAAATCTGGAAAAGTCAGGGAATTTTGATCAGAATCCTGGAAAATTATTGTTTCCTAAAGTTATTGTGCTTTATTCTTAAAATCTAATTTTACTTAAATATTTCAAAATTAATTCAATATTTTAAAAGAGTTGCGATTACAATTTCCATAAATAGGTGAACTTCAAAAGGTTTTAATTTGAAATTTTAGAAAATTTCAATTTTGAATGAATTAATTAAATACTAAAAATTTCACAGGAATTCTATTATTTACAAATTTTTTTTATAAATTTCTTCGGCAATAATTCAATTATTTTCATGAAGAATAATATTTTTTACCAGGAATTCAATTATTTTCATAAATAATAAAATTCTGTATAGGTTTTCAATTATTTTCATAAATAATAAAATATTTATTTATCATCGCAGAATTTCAATTATTTTTAATACAATTTTAATGGAATTTCTCGAAAAATGTAATTATTCTTAAAAATTTTATTATAATTCATCAACAAAAAAAAAATTCAATTATTTTAAAAAGCCTTCCTATAATTTATGTATTATTTTCAAAAATTTTAATGAAATTCTTTTTAACAATTCAATTTTTTGTCAAAATAATTTTAATAAAATTTTTCGTAGAATTAATTTAATTTCAATAATTTATCAAAATTCAATTATTTTTAATATCTACGTATTTCAATAAAATTTCACAAAAGAATTCAATTATTTAAAAAGCAATATATTATTAAAATTCGTCTCAAGAATTCAATTATTTTCAAAAATAATGAAATTCTTCATAGAAATTCAATTATGGTCAAAAGTTTAAAAAAAATTTTCGTCAAAATTTCAATTATCTTTATAAATAATAAAATTATTCTTCAAAATTAAATTATTTTCAAAAAATGTAATGAAATTCTTGGCAAAATTTCAATTATTTTCAAAAACTTTTCTCAATTCAATCAAAATTTTTTTTACAGTGATTCAATTATTTTTAATGGAATTTTAATCTAAT